CATGCCAACTGCTTAAAATACATCTTATATGATTCTCACAACAACCTTATGAGCTTAAATTATTATGAAGAAATTCATTCTTATGAAGAAACTGTGGTTTTATTTTTCATTTGTTCTTTCTAGATACACATGAAAGTAGAGTGTATTTTGACATTATACATACATAGAATGAGTAAAACTTGTTCCAGTTAAGATCCCCATTATTGCCAGACATAGTGGTACATACCTGTAACCCCAGCAGCTCAGGAGACTGAGGCAGGAGGATAGTGAGTTCAAAGCCAGCCTCAGCAAAAGGGAAGAGCTAAGCAACTCAGTGAGACTCTGTCTCTAAATAAAATACAAAAAAGGGCTGGGGATGAGGCTCAGTGATCAAGTGCTCCTGAGTTCAATCCCTGGTACCAAAAAAAAAAAAAAAATCCCATTATTGTGGTTGTATCTGATGGGGAGTTACATTGGTCATGTATTCATATATATGGATAGGAAAAATATGCCTATTCATTCTACTGCCTTTTATATTTCCATTCCTCCCTTCCCTTCATTTCCTTTTGTCTAGTCCAATGAACTTCTAATCATCCCCTGTGATTAACATCCACATAAAATCAGAGAGAACATTCTGCCATTGTGCCAATCCTAAAAACCAGCAAGGGGCAATGGGGAATTAAGAAAGACGCACAAACATTTACAAACAGAAAGGTGGAACCAGATGGGACACTGACCTCTGATGGAAGAACAGTGATCCAGAGCTAGCACAGCATATTTCTTATATAGGATTTATCATCAAGAGATTATTTGTGGGAAAGTTTTTGCAAATTATGCAGGCTTGAAGGTTGCAGCAATTGCAAGATATTGTGGTTATCTTGTTATGCTCAGAATTCTCTATCCCTGGCAGCTGGTGTCTGAGCTCAAGGTCAAGACTGTTATTGTTCTATACCTTTGCACAGAACTTTCTCAGGCAGAGCATTACCATAACTACTGGGCAATCTCATCTTGTCCTGCACTTTTGCACAGAACATTCCCAGGGCAAAGCACAGCCACATCTATGAGGTAGTCAAAGACCATGGTCCAAGTCACCTCTCTACACCTCTGGTTGTTTGTGATTGGCTTTTATCATTTAACATTATATTCTCCATTTCCATTCATTTACCGGCGAATGCCATAATTTCATTCTTCTTTATGGCTGAGTAATAATATTCCATTGTGTATATGTACCTCATTGTTTTTTATCCATTCATCTGTTGTAGGGCACCTAGGTTGGTTCCATTGCTTAGCTATTGTGAATTGAGCTGCTATAAATGTTGAAGTGGCTGCATCACTGTAGTATACTGACTTTAAGCCCTATATAGTTCTGTGGGGTCAAACGGTGATTCCATTCCAAGTTTTCTAAGGAATCTCCATATTGCTTTTCAAGTGGCTCAGTTCCACCAGCAATGTATAAGTGAACATTTTCCCCCACATCCTTGCCAACATTTATTGTTACTTCTACTCTTGAATATTGCCATTCTGGCTGGGAATATCTGTGTAGTTTTGATTTGCATTTCTTTAATTGCTAGAGATATTGAACATTTTTTCATATATATTTTGACCATTTGTGTTTCTTCTTCTGTGGCTTGTTAAGTTCTTTAGGCCATTTATTTACTTTAGTTGTTGATAGACTTTTATTTTATTTATGTATTTATATGTGGTGCTGAGAATCAAACCCAAGGCCTAACACATGCCAGGCAAGTACGCTACCACTGAGCCCCAGCCCCAATCCCTAGGCCATTTATTGATTGGGATATTCAGTTTATTTTTGGTGTTAAGTTTTTTGAGTACTATGTATATGCTAGAGATTAATACTCTGTCTGAGATGCTGGTGGTAAAGATTTTCTCCTTTTCTGTAGGCTTTCTGTTCACATTCTTGATGGTTTTCTTTGCTATAAAGAAGTCTTTTAGTTTGACACTGTCCCCTTTATTGATTATTGGTTTTATTTCTCATGCTTTAGGAGGAAAATGAAGGGAAGGGAGGAATGGAAATATAAAGACAATAGAATGAATCGGGCATATCTTCCTTATTAAGGAAGTCGGTTCTTAAGCCAATATGGTGGAAAGTTGATCCTACTTTTTCTTCTAGTAGGTGCAGAGTCTGTGGTCCTTGATCCACTTTGAGAGTAGTTTTGTGCAGGGTGAGAGATACAGCTTCAAATTCATTCAACTACATATGAATTTCTAGTTTTCTCAGCACCATTTGTTAAAGAGGCTACCTTTCCTCCAATGTATATTAATGACACCTGTGTCTAGTATGAGATAACTGCATTTATGTGCCTTCTATTCTGTTCCATTGGTCTTTGTGTTGGTTTTTTTTTGCCAATACCATGCTGGGTTTTTTGTTGTTATTGTTGTTGTTGTTTTGTTTTGTTTTACTGTAGCTCTGTAGTATAATTTAAGGTTTGGTATTGTGATGCCTCCTGCATCACTTTTTTTGCTAAGGATTGCTTTGGCTATTCTGGGCCTTTTATTTTTTCAAATGAATTTTTCTATTTCTATGAAGAACATCATTGGAATTTTAATAGGAATTGCATTAAATCTTTATGAAACTGTGGCTTTAGAAACATCAAATAACTCTCTCAAGATATCTAGGTAGTAAGCAGAATCTCCCATGCTCCATACTATTCTCTCGCGATACCCTCCTTTTTTTTTCTCTCTCTCTCTCATTTTTTTTTCTTTATTTGCATACTTCTTGAAAAAGTTTCACTTCCTCCTCCTCCTGTCTAGACAGTCTACTGTAGTTGTTTTGTGATTCCCATCATAGCTCTACCACTCGATGCCAGATATTTATGTTGTTTTGAGACAGTGTTCTCCCTTCATCTCTTCATTTCTCTGCTTCTCTTTCTGGTTTTCTTTTCTGACTCTTTTTCCTATCTTTATCCTTCAAATGTAAGATCTCCAGAGTTCCATCTCTCCACAGCTTTCTCTTCCTGTTCCACACTTAGCCAAGCCAATCTCATTTATTCCCACACCAGCAACTATCATGCTTTCACAATTGAAGAGCAAATCCACATAGTTAATTCTAGTCTCCTCCAACCCAATTCCAGCCCCCTGCTGAAATTTCCTAATAGTTCTTTCAAAGTACCTCAAAACTCTATGTGCCCCATATCTAACTCACTTCCTTCCTGTTTCTACCCATGAATTCCTCACCTGAGTCAGTCACCTATCATTAACCACTGGCCCCATCTTCACATCCCTTCACTACCCTGATTTCCCTTTTACTCAGTACATAGCTGGCACATCCTCATACAAAAAAAGCTATGGAGACACTGTGATGGACATATCCCTGAGCCACGAGGAGAATCTAGTTCTAATCTTGGCTTAATTGTTAAGTAGCTACCTGACTCAGTGGAGCTGGAACTGGGAAATGCGAAGCCCTTTCTCACACCAAAAACTCTATGAAGAGCTTGCAGCACTCATTCACCTTTAATGCCTTCTTATTAGTCCAACTAACATTGTCCTAACTGTCCTCACTGCATTTTGCCTGGACTATTTTAACTGGCCACCTGTCTGGTCTTCTTTCCTTTCTTCTCCTTATTTCCTTTCTTTGGATGGTGTTTCCCACAGTAAAAAAAAATTATATTCATAAAACATACTCTAAATGATGTTTCTCACTTGGTTAAATTGATTAAATATTTTCATATAATATCTGAAAACATATTTATGGACAAAACATGTCACTAACAAAGTCTGAAGATAAATGGCACTGGGGAAAATATTCTAACATATACCATGGACAAGAATTTAATTTCTTGATTTAAAAAGAGTCCTATGAATAATTTTCAGAAATAGACAACACATATGTTTTTTATAAATGTTCAACTTCACTAAATAAAAAATAAAATTCAAAACTATAAGATATTTTCTACTCGTTAGAAAGGTAAACATGTTAAAGGTGATGGCAGCCATTGCTTCTTCAGGGATGGGGAAAAGAACACTCTCCTGAACTGTTAACAAAATATAAACCAATACAAATTTTGTAAGTCAATAGGTAACATCTATCAAACTATGTACCCTTTAATCTAGCAATTCTCTGATTAGGAATTTATTCTACCAATGAACTTAAAAATATTTTCCAAGGGGCTATGGTTGTAGCTCAGTGATAGAACACTTTCCTGGCATGTCTGAGGCACTAGGTTCATTCCTCAGCACCACATAAAAGTAAATGAATAAAATAAAGGTATTGTTTCCACCTACAAATTAAAAATTTTTAAAAAAAATATTTTCCAAGAATCAATCTCTCTCTCTCTCTCTCTCTCTCTCTCTCTCTCTCTCTCTCTCTCTCTCACACACACACACACACACACACACACACACACACACTAGTGGTTGCAACACTGATGTTAGGAGAAAAAAGAAACAAAGGAATGGATGGATAGACAGAAGGAAGGAAAGAAAAGAAAAGCCTGAACTTGCCAACATGTTAATCAAGAAAGGACTAGTTAAAATATTTATATGATTGAAGGTTATTTAGAATGTTACTTTTAAAAGAACATTTGTGACATGTGGAAATGCTCATGATATAGTGTTAGTAGAAAAACAGAAAAAAAACAGCTTATAAAATATTTGCAGTATGGCACTATTTTTATCTGATATCTGTATATATGTTAACATTGAAAAACAAATGTCAAGATTCACAGCATATATGATTTCCTGTTATTTATACATTTTCCAAGTACAAATACATCATTTTTGTAGTTAGAAAAAAATTACTTGTTTTCAACTTTCTATAGAAAATAGAAAGTCAATTAAACTGTCTGTGCCCTTGTATATTCTGTATTCCAGAAGAGACACTACCTAGAGTTCACGTCTTGGAGGTTATAAAAATTAATAATTAATTAAGCATAACTCTTTGGAAATACTATAGCTACAATAATCTGAAAGCTCTCTATAGGATTTGGCTGTAGGAAAAAGATTTATTCCCACACATTGTAATTTATTCAACCACTTCTCTTTGCTTTGCCTCATTCATCAAGTGCTGTCACCTAATATTGCATAATCCATGTCTGTGTGTATATTTAAGTAGAATTGGAATGTAACTTCGTTAACTATTACCAAGTGCTGACTACAGGAAACCACATCAGCTGAGAGTAGCCCTTCACATTTACGATTTAGGTGAGTATTATAACCAGTGTGCAAGAATATTTGTTGTCTGTTACTGGAAAAAGCATCAAAAAAGAACCTATGGTGTTTATATTGCAATATGTTCTGAAATACTAACATTAAAAAGAGAATAAAGAAAGAGCAAATTTGAGTCTGAAGAAAGTGAAAATAGTATAAAAATAGTTATCATACTTAGCAAAGTAAAAGGTTTGTAGGTTATTTTTCAGAACAGCATTTGAAAATATTTCTGGATTATACTTTGGTTTATGTAACTCTAAAAAGGTGTTGACTTTCTCTGTGTTCATCATAAATGCAGTGTTTTCCAGCTTCTTGTTAAACTATGCAAGCTAATGATGATTTAGAATAGAATTCTTCCAAAGGTGTTCTCTCGCTAGTCCAGAGGAATAATAGTGGTGGGAAAAAATGTTATGATATCAACTAATTACTGAAAACAATTAGGTCAATAAAGATAGCTATTGATTTTCTTCAATGAAGGACTACCAACATCTTCATGATACTAATTTGAGCTCTGGTTCTCTAAGAGATAGGATACAGATTGGAACACAAAGTTTTATTTGAAAATGCAAATTTTTTTAATGACCAGGATACTTTTTTTAATGACCAGGATAATTTTTCCCTAGGGCATGTGTAGCTTTGGATAAAAGAGAAAACAAACAAAAATTATCATAGCGATGCAGTCTTCATGTTAATAAAGTGTGACCTCAATACCTACTGTGTGCAGGATACTATTTCAACTATTTTCTGTGTAATTTAAAATTTAACTATAATAGGATTACCTAACCTGTACTATTCCATGTATTATGTCATAAACTAGCTACTGTTAATGTAAAATTCAACCCTATTTAAAAGGAAATAAGAAAGACATTTATTCTGAGCCAAATATGAGTGAACATGGCCCAGATTACCTGAAATTACATGTTCCAAAGTGAAAGGGGTTACATAAACTTTACAGCCAAAGAACAAAGAGTTTTACAAACTAATACATTCAACAAATGAATCAGTGTCGGTGTTAGGTAGGCAGGCCATAGCAAAGCAGGGATATCTTTCCTATGGATATCATTATGTTATAGCATTCTTAGCTTTGGGGTTGGTAGAGGCTAGAGGTCTTCTAAGCTTAACAACATAGTCTGAGAAGTTTACATAATAGTGATGAGCATATTATGTCAGATACAGAGGTTAAAGTGAATGACTACTTATCTAAATAATCTAAGATAGCCCAAGATAATTTGGGCTTTCAAACTACAAAATTCCCATATTTCTACAATCAGGATGTTCTATTCAGCCAAGGTCAAACAGTCTGCAGGATTTTGAGTATAGATACAGCTTCTTCAGTTTCACATCCCATATTCAGAAATTTATTATTTCAAAGAAGTTGGACAACTGCTTGTGTAGAAGAAAAGCTGGGTGTTTTAAGTGAAATTCCCAGTTCTTTCCCCTGACTACCCCCACTACATTTTGAAGAGGGAGGGGCCATAGAATGGGGATGGAAGGAGACAGAATGGAGAAGTGCTCACATTAAGATGGTAGTCAGTAGACTAGATTATGCTCACAGCTGTTTTTGTGAGCCTAGGCAAGGCATCTTCCAGAATCTCAATCTACTCATTTGTAGGGTGAGGGACTACAACTATAAGGTTCTCTGCTTCTCAGCATTCTCGATCAATAAAGGTGGGAGAATCAGAGAAAGAAGTAGGATTTATCTGATGTCCTCAAGCAGTATAAGGATAATATCCACTCCAAGACAAAATTGAGGGGCATAACAGGGATTCTTCCTTTGAGGATTTTGCTCAAGGGGACTGACTATAAATAAGCAACTTGCATATAAGATTCTAGCTCCACCTAGAGAAGATAATTTGGAATTTCAACCTGTGTAGAGTTATCTACAGACAAAAACAAAGGTGTATGATGTTTATCCTCTAAAGAATCCTCTAACCCAGAGACTCCTCTCTTACTCAGCTAGAAGAGCTGATACACCTGGAGTTTAGAAAAGGTTTAAATTATACCCACTTCTTAGCTAATTTGTGGGGTTTTTTTTAAATGTAACAAAATAGGAGTTCAATGCTTTACAAAAAAAATCAATAATCATTGGCAGAATTTCAGGCAAAGTCAACTGGAGAAGTCCTACTCTTCCAGAAACCACAATACTGCCATACCTTGATTATGAAGCCAGCTTGTAGTATCATATTGAAAGAATAAAAAGCTTTCCACAATTTATGATGGAGAATTCCATATTCTTTCAATATGACAATGCAATCCAGCTTGTTCAAGGTATAACATCCATTGGTAATCCTTTCCTGAACTAAGTATTAAGTTGGAAGCTGCAAGATGGTGATTTTTCTAGTTTTATCATTCCTTCTGTAATGAATAGATCCCTTTCTATTCATTCATTGTCAAGAAATGCCATATATTTGCGGGTTTCTTATTAACCCATCAAGTCCCATCATTCCAGATGTGGGACACTTATGAAAACAAATTAAGCAATGAATATACAACTTTTGGTAACTTTTGAAACAATTATGTTTTTAGAGTTCTATTATTTTGGTAAAAGTAATAGGTGAATGATTAAAGTGTTTGAAAAAATATATTTCATATATACAGAAGTATATATAAGGAATATATATATATATATATATATATATGTGTGTGTGTGTGTGTGTGTGTGTGTGTGTGTGTGTGTGATCTAGATTGTGACTTCCAACCTATTTTAATGCACCTATGTTGATTTTGTTGAAATATTCACAGAGCTGAAAACGTGGAACCTAATGAGTTAAATGCTTATAGTCAATTACCATCATTATTCTTTTTGATATTCAAATAATGCCAAATTTGGCCAGTGGGAAACACTTCAAGGCAGCTCATGTATGCTTTTGAAACAATAATGCTTTCTGGCACAAAGAATGTTCCATGTTTACTACTATTTTCCCAGTCTCAGATCTGGAGTAGATCTTGAGATTTCTTCTGGCAGAAATATTTAGAAACTAAGATATGGGCACACATTTATTGCTGGGAGTTGGTTTATTGATTAAGTTTTAATATTTATAGGGTTTTTTCTTGGGCTTCTTTAATTTTATATTTGTATCTCCTTTCCCCTACAATGAAAACCATATAGCATCAATATGTCTTCTATTTTTTATGTACTACAGTATAACTAAACAATCTCAGAATTTCAATACTGGTATTACCACTAATAATAAACATAACTAAAGTTTAAATTTCTTTGCAGTTCTCTCTGTTTTATGGCTATATTCCAGTATAAAAGTATAATTAGAATACTTGTTCAAATTTTACTTAATTTTAAAAATGTGGTTATCAATTTTATATTGAGTTAGTCATGGTTCTTGATTGTTTTCAAGTTAAGAAAGTTGAACTAATATTATATCTTAATTCAACAGAAATCTGAAAGAATGAAGCCTAAAATGAAGTATTCAACCCCCAAAATCTCCTCAGCAAAGCTGAGCAGCACAGTAGATAGAACCTTGGTAAAACCCTGCAAGATAAGAGGTAAGGACTTAAGCATTCTTGATTATATTACACTATTTTTATCTGGTGTCAAATCTTTATTATTCCAATGATTACATGTTACCTTGCCAAAAGTTTCTAAGAATAAAAGAATTAAAATTTTAAAAAGGATGGCTCATAGATATGACAGCCAACTTTTGCTTATTTAATACATCATGAGATAGGAATAGCCCAGATAATTTAAACTTATGAATAATATAAATTATAGCCTTCTATGTTGATCCTTTTATTGTCCCCACACCTTTTGCTACCAAATCCCCAAACCTTTTCCTAATTAAAAAACAAAATTCTAAACTAATCTATTTTCATTCAACAAATACTGAAGACAATTGGTGTACCATGTGGTCTTGACTTGCAAATACTGATGAAGGAGAATAACAAGTGAAGATATTTGAATAATCCAGTCCTCAGATGAAGCAGAATCGACCAAATGAAACTCATGTTTATGTAGTTAAAACTAAGAGAGTTTAGGGGCTGGATTTGTGGCTCAGTGGCAGAGCACTTGCCTCACACATTTAAGGCAGTGAGTTCAATCCTCAGCACCACATAAAAATGAATAAACAAAACAAAGATATTGCATCCATCTATAACTAAAAAATATTTTTAAAAAACTAAGAGAGTTTGGAATAAGATAAAAAGGAAATATAGTCAAATAATAGCCACATCTCTGAGATAGAAGGGCTCTATGCCTATTTAACCCTTAAAATTATCTACCTAAGGGCTGGGGTTGTGGCTCAGGGATGGAGTGCTCGCCTAACATGTGTTGAGCCCTGGGTTCGATCCTCAGCATCACATATAAATAAAATAAAGGTATTGTGTTCACCTACAACTAAAACATATATATTTTTAAAATTATCTACCTAAGAAGGAATCATGTAAATTTATACACTCATTTTTTCACATGGAAACAGTAACATAAGAGAGTTAACAGAACCCTGGTGGGCTGGAGAAAAAACGGAGGATAAGGAATGATAATGGCAACTGGCATATCATTATCCTTTATGCTCCTCACCCTTTCCATTAACACCTTTAAGGCTAGAAGAGACAACAGTGTTAAGGAATATCATTTCTGTCCTCTTCTGTCCTCCATGAGGGTCTGGCCCATGCACACTATTTTTTGGTAACCAGGGAAAACACTAATTTGACACTAGTTTTGGCCAAAAAATCATTATTAAATTAATCACTTTACTAAGTTGAAATGCTTTGTGCAAAAACAGTTACTCCATGTCCCCGAATTCCTTCTTAATAAAGAAAGTATTTTTTGTATCCCAGGAAATAAGGGTTCTTTACAGATATAGGAATGAGGGAGTAGGGTTTATTAGAGTTTCTGGTATTGATACCAAAGTTAAAATGTAACTCCTCTTTTATGAGTTCAGGAACTGCTTATCTGCACCAGAGGACAGTGATAAAGATAATCCCAAAATATGACTTTGCAATACAACACATTTTTATCATCCCTTAAGAAAATTTCCTTTCCAATAATATCAACTCAGTACCATACTACAATAATAGGTATTTAAACACTTGGTAAAAAATTCAACAGAGACCTATGCAATTTACGACAGATCTGAACCATTTCTCAAAACTCAAAAGTGCAAGAAATGTCACGTTATTTTTCTAAATAATCTTCTGCTCTGAGCCTTCAAGCCACAAAGAACACACACACACACACACACACACACACACACACACACTACTTCATTTCTTTCTCAAACTCCCTTGGTTTACCTGGATATGACACAATTCACAATTCACAAGCCATAAAACTCAATATCCATCCACACAGCCAGTCACACATTAGTTCACCCCTGGAAAATTTCACCTCTGATGCCAACATGGTAGAGAATTTCATGACCTGGAGGAAAGACCCTCTCTAAACTTCTCCCCTTCCAGTTTCCAGGAAGATATTCCCCAAGGTCAGGTCCTTCTCCTCTCCTGCTTCTGTTCCCCAACATTCATCAGTACTTTCTCTTCCTAACAAGCTCGCCTCCTTTATTCATGGACATATACAGCCTACAGAAGCATTTATTGGCCTGAACAGTATTATTTTTAATTGAGACAACTTTTCAAAATTAGGAACTTTTCATGAGAATCTATATGTATAGGTTCTCTCAAAAAATCTAAAGATCTAGAAATACTGGGCCCATATTCCTGCATGACACAGTTAGTCAGGACTAGGTAGAGATCAACCCTTTTAGTTTAAATCTATTCATATAAGAGTTTTCTGTTAGTGAAGGAACTTCAGTTTATACTGTGGACTAGAGGAAACCACTGAAAATGTTTAACTGGGGAATGATGTGTGAAAATAGAATGAGTGTCAAGAGAGAAATGGAAACTGATTAGAGGTCTACTGTATCATCTAGATGACTGATGATGAAGGCCTGACCTAAGACAACAAAATGGAGAGGAAGAACTACAATCCAGATATATGTGAAAGGTGAAATTAATAAGCTTTAATTACATATTGACTAAATTGAAGGATGGAAAGAAAGAAAGAGATACTAACTTTCTGATTCTCACCTTTCTGATTTAAGAATTGATCAGATAATGGTAGACAGTTGTACTATTTTTCAAGAGAGGGGATTCCGGAGAAATATATTGAGGGTAGAGAAAGATAAAGATGTTTTATTTTTATAATCAACCTCATCCTCATCATCATTACTGGCATATTTTAGCTTGAGGGAGCTATAGGTTATCCAGGTAAAGATGTCCATAATTTCATTCCTGAGGACATACATAGATAGAAACAGAAATGCTTGAAGGTAGCTAATTCCAAATGCCCTGTGAAGAAAGTTCAGGAAAAAGACAAAAGATAAAGTTACAGTTTGCGGAATCATCAGCCACTAAGCAGATGTTTGAAGTCACTGGAACAAGCAAGATTGCCTGGAAAGAAAGTTTAGAGTGAGAGAAGGCAAAGGAGAAAACCATATGGTACACTGACATTTTAGGCAGAGGAAGAACTAACAAGGAGACAGAGGTAAACTGATCAGAAAGAAACACAGGGAACCAGTGTACTTAGTCACATAGCAATAAGGGCAGAGGGATTCAAGAAAGGAAGTGGTCTCCAGAGTCAAATGCCACAGAGATCAAGATTAGGAAGCAATGAGAAAAAAGCATAGTGAAATAGGTATTTGAGGAAGAAATGAAAGATGAAGTTTTTCAAATCTGTCAACCATGGCGCCAAAACTACAGAAAGATTTCCAGGCCTCTTCCTATGTACTCACTAGAATTGCCTTAGGGAACTCATGCTGTTACAATGATGATATTAGCTATGAGAATTTTCTTAAAAGTCACACTAAGACTCTACCCTCAGAGAGCAAGCAGGATGGAGACACAGGAATTGGTAATAGCCCTTGTGTAGATTTGAGCTGGTTCCCTGACACCAGTAGAACACTCTCTCCTGCATAACCCCCACACGACCCTCACACTTTCAGCTGCCTAGAGCACCAAAGTATAACTTCTCCCAAATTCTTCCAAGGTAAAGTATTTACAATATTTCAAATGTAGTCACATTCCCCATGAATTATAACTAGTGAATGTCCCACTAGATGTTAGCTCCACACATTCATACATTTAACTCTCTTCCTAACCCCTTTTCTTCTTTTACCTCCACAATACTTGTACATGTCATGACCCTTACTTCAAATTACCCAAGACCCATTTCTTTTTCCCTAGAGTCTACATTCAATATTAGAGATGACTACCATGTTCCCATGTGATGCCAACTATTACATAAATAGAAGCATATAAGGAATAAACAGATTTTTTGGTGTGGTCTTAAGCCTCTAAACTCTGAAGGCATGATGTAGTATAGTTAATAAAGTATTGTATTAAATTATCAGGAGAGCAAGTACAATGCTGGCTCTGGCACTACTTAACTTTGTAAATTATTTTTGTAACTATAAAAGTACTTTATAAATGTGAGATACTGTAGCTGATATTTTTGAATTGTCAAGAGAAGTCAGGGAGTTCCATGGTGGAGTGGCCAATTCCTTGTTCAAACAGGTGAAAATACTCACAGGTCTTTATAAGCATTCTACTAGGAAGGCAAATCTTCTAGAAAATTGAAAAATATCTTTGATTGGCTCCCAAAGTCAGAATTATTTTCTTTTCTGAATTACTGTGAATAATTGAAATTTAACTATATAGTATAATTTTTTTGATGGTTCATTTACTATATAATGTTGAAAATTGAGATCATCTGACTTGTGTTTGGTTTTTTTTGGGGGGGTACTGGGGATTGAACTCTCAGGAGCACTCAACCACTGAGCCACATTCATAGCCCTTTTTTGTATTTTATTTAGAGAGAGGGGTCTCACTGAGTTCCTTAGCACCTTGCTGTTGATGCAGCTGGCTTTGAACTCACAATCATCCTGCCTCAGTCTCCTGAGCTGCTGGGATTACAGGCATGTGCCATGGCAACTGGCCTGATTCATGTTTTAGTTTTCACTCTGTGTAACTCTGAGAGGTTGTTATGATTTCCAATTTCCAACTGATTTTTTAAAATTTGGCACAAATTTTTATTTGGCCAAATTAAGTAAGACTTACTGAATAACGATTAACTTTTCTACTTCAATTTTTTTAGATTTGAATTTGCACTTTGTTAGTACCTCAAACAATAGTGTAGCATTTTCTTAAATGGAGGTAGGGTGAGGAAAGTTGTTTTTATATTAGACACACCTCAGTCACAACTTCTCATCAGCCTTGTAAATTTGGACAATTTTACATGACTCCTAAAAGCCTCAGATTATCACCTATAAAATTGGGATAATAATGTCTAACTTGCAAGATTATTATGAAGAATTAAGTGAAATATGTAAAATAATTAGCACAGTACTTGGCCCACTGTTGACACTTAGAAGATGTTAGTTATTTTAGTGTCAATAACCTTCATAGAATATAGCTATCCCTGCAAAATTATTAAGTGTATTTTATGTAAGTAGATCTATTTTAGATCTCAGATTTCACATAGCCATATGTATTTCCTCTTAGGCAAAAATTTATGTTTATTAAATGTTGGCTTGTAATTCCTCATATGGAATTCTGAAAACCAAAATGTTTTCTAAAAACCTAAAATTTTTCATAATTCATTTGGCAGCAACATATGATCTGAATTCATTTGTCCATTAAGTCCCAATCTGAATATCTTTATTTTACTTTTTGTAAATTTTCCAATATTTCACTGTAAGATTAATTAATTTTTGACTAAACAGTGCTACACCAGCCCATTAAAGGTACTACATATGGATGATATATGTTCTATATTACAATGCTAAAATCTAAAAAAAATCTCTGAATTTTAAAACACAATTGGCTCCAAGAGTTTCTGGTAAAATACAGTGGATCTATACTTGCTTTCATCTGCTGCACTTAGGGTTTGCAAAAAGATAAAGATGAACAGAGTAAAACATAACAATTTTTCATTGTTTAGAATCCCAACAGAAGACCAAAGAAATCTGCCATGTGTATTGTATGAAGCTACGCTCTGGCCTTACCATAAAAAAGAAGGCCTGTTACTTCAGGAAAGAAATCACCAAACATTGTTCACAAAAAACAGGTAAGGGAAACTATGTTTCATGGCAACAGCAATGGGTATCTATTTGCCTTCACTTACCATATTTAAATACATAAATTTCTTCCTCACCCAAAAGAGTAAAGGGGCATATAAAGAGTTTTTAACAGCATGAGGGATATACAGTTATGTTATAATATTAAGTAAAAATAAAGGATACAAGATTATATATAAATAAGTTTATAATATTTCTAAGTAATTTTATTTAAAGGGGCAAACTAGAGGGCTAAGTGATTGCTTTTGGAGTGTTGAGACCATAGGTGATCAGTTTTCTCCCTCCTAGTGTGCTCTGCTAGGGTATAAATACGTCAGGAGGTATTAATCCCATCAGACCATGGGGTGTCCAAAGTCCTGGGATCATTTACCACTGTCAGCAAGCAGACTTAGAATCATCAAAAGGAAATGGCATGTATGCAGAGTGAGGACTGATGGTCCATTCCTGTTCAACTTCTGACCTACAGGTGGAAAGCACAAAGAAATACATCAGTTATTTGCTGCCTATCAACCTGCTATGGAGCACTCCATCTTTGAAATAGCTAGGATCCAAGAAAATACTAGAGCACTTGACACATCAAGTATCAGAGGTGTGATGGGTCATAGGGGTGGTATTGGGGGGAGGAGGGAGGTAAGACACAAGTAGGCAGCTCCAAAGTTGTTTTCATATGTATCAAGAACCTCTGTTTGATGCCGATATGCCCATTTAGTGGTATCCAAACAGGTGTAACTGATCTAACAATGCTTGTGTATTCTATAGTTAGCACATCATCATGATTTTGAGATGCTTGTCATTATTTGGAATCCTATATATGTTATTCCCACTGGAAATACATTGTCCTTTGAAAGAAAAATATCTATTATTCCCCCAAATTCAACATTTTGTCCATGAAAGGAAAGGAAGATCTATTATTTTTTGAAATATAATTTCAACATAATATATTTTAAAGTTACAATGGTTTTCAATTTTATCACGTACTTGCACATAAATTCAAATTGCTGGTAACTATCAGGAAGTGAAGAGGGACTAGGGATGTAGCTTAGTGGTCGAGTACTTGTCTAGCATGTGCAAGGCCCTGGTCCAATACCCAGCACCAAAGTGGGTTGGGGGAAGAAGTGAATGAATCATCATTCAGGAAACTTGATAAGTAATTACATGTTGCCACTTAAAGCATTATTCCTGATAAAAACATATTAAGTTCACAAAAGTAATACTGAAGTTTCTCACTAAGGGTCTTTAAATCACTTTGCTTTACAAGTTCACATATAAATTCAATTTTTAGCAATCTCTTTTATATTTTGTATATTTTTTAGTATAATTCTGTTACATAAAGAAGATACAGTGATTTTTTCCCTCTGCAGGCCCTATATCAGTACCCCCTAAATCTGAACCAGTTTATCCCTGCACGCTTTAAAAATATTATCATTTTTGGGCTGGGGTTATGGCTTAGTGGTAGAGCACTCGCCTAGCACATACGAAGCCCTGGGTTCAATCCTTAGCACCACATAAAGATAAATAAAATAAAGGTATATAAAAGTATATTATCATTTTCTATGTGTGCTGTGACATTAAAAAAATGTTAGGAAAATTGCTCTAAGTATCTCTGTTATTTAGCTTAAAGGAGAGAACTGTGATTATATCTGAATTCCCCTGGACTATAAAATTCTCTAAGTAACCACATTTTGTAGATGGGCATTCATTTACCTATATCTATCAAAATAAAGTCCCTTCTTTCCCACAGTTCCCTAGACCATGGGAAACCAAAAAATGAAGGTTTCTTCAGGCAATTCCCATCACTTTTTCAGCTTCTTTCTCCCCACCAAACCCTCCCATAAACATTCTAGGTGCTCCTGCGGCATTTATTCAGGAGACTAAGCACTTTTAATCCCATCCAGGTGTTACACCTCAGCCTTTGAGCTACATAAAGCTTTGTGCCAAAGGCTTTCATCTATTCACAACTAATGACAAAATGTAGCTCAAATTGCAAAGAAAAAAAAATTTTGAGGACACACTTCAAAAACAGTTTGTCAAAAGAATTATTCATGGTAACAAGTTTTATTCCCAAGAACAAGTTTTATTTCCCATGGAAACAAGAATTTCACTTGTTATAGGAGTTTCTTTTTTCACAGAATCTTTCGCTTCCCTGAGTACATACAATAATCAACATGTTCGTTTTATTTGGGAGGATGGAAATTATGTGACCAATGTTGAAGACCAGCCAAAAGACCAAGAAAAAGGTAGAATATTTCCTTATCTAAAATTATGTAATGATGATTAAAAAAATAAATCTACCAAACCATCAACAATGGATTAATTTAGATACAGCAAATAGATTTACTTATATTTGCTCATTCTAATACATTGTCAGTGGACACCTGAACATCGCTACGTTGAGAAGGATTCAGAAGTTTAATTAGGATTACTTAATGCAAGAATATAGATATTAAGAGTATACATGTTGTGAACTATGGAAGGAGGAGGTACATGTATTTGCTATTGCTAAATTACCCACTAGATCTTTCTAGCCTTATTAATATCAATAAATTATAATCTTTAACAAAAGGAATATACCACTGCTATCAACATCATAAATATTTAATAATAACTGTGTTGAATTTGTCAGAGCAAATTTTAAGACCTTCAAATTTTAAGACCTTCTCAGAACCGAGAAATGTTTGCTTTTGTTGATGCATAATAAAAAGGCGAGGATATTCTCTGATGTTATGAATATGATGGAACTGAAACCTTTTGATAAAAATGTATCTCACAAAAGTGATCTTATGCATTCTCTTTCAGACAAGGTATTACTGCGCTACTATGAGTCTCCATACCCCTCAAGCGAATCAGGTAATTTGGAGGCTTAGGTATTTGTAGTGCTGAAATTCTTAAGTTTGTAGTAAAGATAAATCCAAAATACTCCATGGGAAAGAAAGATTGTTTCAAAAAGCTCTCTCCAACCCACACTCACAATAAAATCTTAGATTCTTAGAGAATTTATTCCATCACATTAATTTTCTAGATTAATACTTAGGATAAAGGTTTGGCTGCATTTAATAAAAATCTCTTACCCAGGACTGGAATGGCAGTTCTGCTCAAAGTTTGTCCAGACACACAGCTTCTACACTGTGGCTCTATCAGCATCTACATGGTTCAATATTCCTAGCTACGATGGCAATGTCCAATCAGTGAGACAGAGGAAAATGAATGTACAACTAGAAGTTACACCTAAGAACTTAGTCCATTGCTGCATGAAGCCATGAGAAGCAGGCTAGGAAATCTTTTATTATTATATATAAAAGGAAGTAGATATTAGAGGACAACCATGTAAAGCCCTGTAGCTTTATAGGCAGACAGGGGAGCTGATGCCCAGAGAAGTGCCCATGAGTCACAATTCTTCAGTTGGAAAGCATATTTTTTAAATACCAACCTCTCTCCTTCGAGAAATTCAGAAGAACCCTCTTCTTATTTAATAATGACTCTTTTACTTTCATTTGGGTGCAAATATCTTTAAGTGAATGAAGTAGTTATTTTATTTGATATCTTGAACTCTTTTCTGGGTGTTAAAAAGACTTAAATTAAAAATGAGTTGCAAGTCATTATAATTTAAAATTTATCTTCTTTCTTATTATTAATTTTATAATTAATGACAAATGAACCTGGGTATTTGTTATGTACAACATGAATTTTTGAAGTATATATACATGGTAGAGTAGTTAAATCTAGCTGGTTGAAAACTGCATTACCTTACTAATTATCATTTTAATTGTAAGGTGATGGTGTCGATGGTAAGATGTTGATGGTAAACCTGAGTCCTACAAAAGACAGAGACATCTTGCTTCATGCCAACAACAAGGCGCAGTCTGTGGAGGTAATAGATACATGATTATATAATTATGGTGATTAACTCTATCCATGTGTGTATATTTGGGTATTGGGATATTTTGAAGAAGGAGTTTTGTTTGTGATGTTGTAAATAAAACGGGTACTACTAATGACTTGCTTCTGCGGTAGGGGAAGGAGAAAAGTATATGTGACCTTGTTGCTAAAAATCTGGAATCTCCCAGCAGCACAGAATCACCTGAGTGCTTGTTAGAAATGCAGGAGTTCAAGCCCTCCAAGGAATGAATCAGGATTAGCATTTTAACAAATTCTTATGGCTGGGGATATAGTTCAGTCAGTAGAGTGCTTGCTTTGCATGCACAAGGCCCTTGGTTCAATCCCCAGCACGCACGCACACACACACACACAAAAAAAAATCTCTAGGAGATGCACAATTTCATTAAGGTTTGAGAAGCACTGCTATACAGGTTTATCTCAGTTTCTTTTTATTTGACTTTAGGAATTATGTTCTTCTAGGAAATGTTTTTTGTAAAATATTCTTATACTCCAAGTCTGGTGGCTGGAGATGCAGCACACATTTCCATGTCAAGATTTATGGAGAGCAAAATGATCTACATTCTCATAGGATTCACTGCATATTGTTTACTTAGTAAAAGACAATATTATATTGGTCATGACAAGGAACTATAAATATCTTGAAGAACAAATAAACCAAAGGTAGAAGCAAGGACAGGAACATGAAAGTATAATACAGAAGATGAATTACACAAATTTATAAAGCTAACTAATACAGTTATATAAGGTATTAACATAAGTAGTGGTCAGTAACTGGCATTTTCTATAACAAAATATCCCTAAGTGTATATAACACAGTGTCTAGCATATATAACTATTCAATAATAAGAAGTAACTCATCTGAGCTATTAAATACCAAGCACTTGCTAAGTACTGTCTCATCTAATCCTTACAGTTACATCTATGGTGAAGCTATTATATTACATCATAGACTTATATTTCAGCTACTACTGAATAACAAACTATCCCCCAAACTTAGTGATTTAAAATAAAAATTATTTATATTATTCATACATCTAGATGAGAATTAACTGATCTAGAAAACTGGCTAGACTAAAATATTGAAGTTTAAGAGAAAAGCAACATACCCAAGTCTTAGCGTATATTACAAACCAAGGGTACAAGTCCAGAACTATTGCATTCAGATTCAGTCATTCTAAGTCATATTGCCTCTCTAAGTATGCTATCCATCAGTGAATCAAATTAAATCATACCACCCACCCTTTACCCTCTACTCATCTGCCCCACCTCCTTTCTCAGTAAGCAGGCTTGCTGGAAATACCAAGTTATAGATTATTATTCCCCTTCAGGTTCTAACATATGAAGGGAAAGTTGATTCTGGACCTTTGACTCACGTATTGGTTGCTTTTTCTCTTGTTTCCTCAGCTGCAAAAGTGTAAAACTCCATTGCCAGACCAGGCCTTCTTTGTCCTTCATAAGGAATCCTCTGATTTTGTTTCATTCGAATGTAAGAGTAATCGTGGAATGTATATAGGAGTCAAAGATAATCAGCTTGCTCTGGTGGAAGGAAAGAATCAGACTAGTGATAATATCATGTTTAAGCTCTCCTTAATGTAACAGAGACCTGCAGGATCTGGTTTGGGCAACACAAATGATACCACTGGAGGACAAGAGTGAAAGAGACAGGCAATATCTAGGGGAAATGGCTTAGAATGCTGTGGAATGTTTTATTTACTATGTGTACAAATATTTTTTCTAATCCTTCAACTGTTTTCTTTTTCTTTGTATCACTATATATTCAACAACATTATGAGTTTATAAAACAAGGTTTTGGTAAAAAGATCTGCTTTTTGAAGAGATATAGGCTAACCTTTACTTTTTTCTAGATTCAGTCCAGAAAGAATTTCCACATTTAGAGTTTACATCTCTTTAGAGAAGAGTCCCTAACTCAAGTTGCTCTTTAAATAGGGATCCATTTTAAAGAGATACATGGTTTTCTCTTATTCCAAACAATAGATTCAAACACTAGAGCTGTTAATAAAAAGAATAAATACTGCATAGACTTACTATTTATCCACTAGAATAAAACACTGAGTGTGTTTATAAATGCCCTAGGTAACACTCAGATTGGCTCTTTTTGTGAAGAGTTATGGCACTTCAAATGCCTACATGTTTAGGCAAGTAATATAAAGGAAAGGATAATTTGAAACTTAAGAAAAACAAATCCAGTGTTGATAAAATGAACAATTTTACCTCTGTTTCATTTCTTAAATTCTGATTTAATATGAAATAATTTTTATAGAGAGAGTTAACTTTAAACAAGGCCTTCCTACATTAGAAAACAAATTTCAGTTCACACATGTAATTGAAATTATTGGTAATATCTAACAAACTGAAACATTTTCTTAAAATACTAAGTTATAGTAGAATGGTTAGGGCATTCAAGTAGCATGGGATCCAAATACTATAATGAAACCAGAAGTCCTCTAATTTACTAAGGCCCAAAAAAGACACAAAATTAACATTAAAATTTCAATAACTGGCTGCCATTCACATTTATGCATACTATGTCCTTCGAATCCTACCTTCCAAGATCTATGACTTTTGATATGCTCATCACCTTGGGTAAAATTTCTTCTAATCCTTGCTTTCCATAAACACAGCAGGTCTTTTTGTTGTTTAGCTTCTCAATGACTCTGCTCGGATGGAATATTCATTTAACTCTGTCCTTTCTTCAGTTATTTTAACCAAGGTATCCTTTGGCACCAATACCCCCACGTTCATTTCCATTTCATCTGAACTCTACATGCTTACCTTTATTCTGCTTTGTGTACCTTACAATGTAGAATTTTTACATATGGTACCTAATACTGTAGAACTTTTGCCTACTGATGGCAAAATTGTTCACTGAACATCTTTGTGTTTTACTGTTACTAAGCTACTAAAATTAATGATCATATAATAACATTTTGAACTAGTAAATGAATGGTTTTTGCTTATTTCAATCTTTAGCAATTTCTATTATAATTTTCCATAGACATGGCTTATAATTAATGGCAAATATAATAATAGAAAATTGATGACATGTAACCTTTGCTGAAAGTGGACTTTGAAATTTCTAATTCGTTGGAACCTAATGGGTATAAGATAAAAGAGGCTGAGAATCATTGTATAAAAATTATGCAACTGTAGAATAATATATCATTGTTTCATAATTTGCTAAAACTTTACTATAGAGACAAAAATAAAAGAACCTATATCATTTCCTTCAAAAATAGTAAACATTGTGTGCATCTGTATGATATACTTAAAATAATTATAAACTAAATATGTCCATTATACTGTTTGTAATCCTGAATAAAACTGTACTTTTTAAAAGAATGCATGACTATAATGATTTTATCATAAAAACAACTCAATATTCTAATTTTTTTTCTTTTTCTTTTTTCTTTTGGTTCTGGGGATTGAACCCAAGAGTGCTTAACCACTGAGTCACATCCCTAGCCATTTTTTGTATTTTATTTATAAACATGGTCTCACTGAGTTGCTTAGGGCCAGATAAGTTGCTGAGGCTGGCTTTAAACTCGAAATCCTCCTGCCTCAGCTTCCGACCCACTGGGATTACAGGCGTGTGCCATTACACCCGGTGAATATTCTGAAATTCTTAAGTGAATTTGCACACCCTAATTTATCAATGTTGGTTTCTAGAGTAAATCAAATATTTACTGATATTTTTGCTAATTCAAAATCAAGTAAGACTTTTGCTTTTGTCTTCTTAGTGCCTGGTAGAGAAGCCCTCACAAAAATGTTAGATGATTTTTACCCAAGATCAAACAGCTAACACATACCTTCACTAGAACTTAATCTGAGATTTATGACTCCTTATTTAGATATCTTTTAAGTCAGCTATCTGATTTTGTTTTTTCTTTTTTAAAAATATTTTCCACCATTATCATAATCAATGTTATTTAATTAAAATATTCAAGGTATTGTTACTTACTTGCATGTTTTTTTGATGGCCCATAGTATACATTACTAGACGGAATGTGTCCATTTAACTGTATCAGAAATGATAGTTATGTCAAAATTTCTTTTCCTCTCATATTTATATTTTGTAAGTTTCTATGTATTTTTGGATACCTTGATATTTTAGTCAGCTTTTTGTCACTGTGACCAAAAGGCCCAACAAGAACAATTTAGAAGAGGAAAAAGGTTTACTTTGGCTTATGGTTTCAGAGGTCTCAGCTCATAGATAGCTGACTCCATTGTTCTGAGTCCAAGGTGAGGCAGAACACCAAGGCAAAAGGGTGTGGCAGAAGAAGGCTTCTTAGGACATGGCAATAAAGAAGAAGAGAGAGAGGTCCACTCAGCAGGGACAAAACATATATCCCTAAGGCACACCCCCAGTGACCTACCTTCTCAGCCACATCCTATCTGCCCACAGTTGCCACCCAGTTAATCCATTCAAGTGGATTATTGCACTGATTAAGTTAAGGTCCTCATAACCCAATCATTTCACCTCTAAGCTTTCTTGTTTTGTCTCACACATGACCTTTTGAGGGATTCCTCATATCTAAACCATAACACTTGAAATATGGTCAAGAAAATTTCATTTGAATGAGTGAAGTCATTTAGAATTGGGGGGAAATAATTAAGAGTTGAATTTGAAGGGGGCACTTGGAAAGGAAATTGCTAATCTAATTAGAATGTAGCACCTTGAATTAAGTCTAGGATGATGGATTCATAATCTCTACTTACACAGAACAAAACAAATCAGAAATAACAATTTCAATCTTTGTGCTTCATATAAGAAATTTCAAGGTGAACAGTGAAATCTTCAAATGAGATGGTCTAGTGGAGATTGGGTCAGACTTGTCCCTAAATCCCTTCTTCCCTCATACTATGACCTGTACAGACCAGAAATCTCATCTCCTATTAGTAACTAATTAATTACATACCATGTACACTGAACATTGTGAAAGTATAGAATATGTTTAAGCTATTCTCCTTGTCCATATGAAACTTGTATAATGTACATATATAGTATATATTAAAATTCCAACTCTGCAGTACATAATCATACAAGGTGACAGAAATCCGTGAGGGTCTGTCATCAAGGAAAGAAACAGGACTGAATTCTCTACCCCTGCACCCTAGTATCCACCTGATTTGTTTATATATCTATTCCCAAAGTCATGTTAAGCAGGTTTCTTCTACAGATATTGAGCAAAAAGGGTAAATTCAGTTGTTCCAATTCCATTAATAGTCAAGATTCAAGCTAAATCTAAATATTGGGTGGAAGAGACAAAAGAAAGCCAGCTGGTAGAGACAAAATCAATGAGCTATTTCTTGTTGAAGTGTCAATAAGAAGTAACACATGTCCACACCCAATCACAGTTTTTAGCCTATCCTAGAGGACATTATCATAAATAGAATGCATGAATCACTGCCCACTACATTAAAAACATAGGCTTGACTTACCACTTATAGGTGGTGTGTCTTCAACAAGGTATGAAACTTCTGTTTCTCTGTAAAATGGATATGTAACAAGTCTTGTAGTTGTCTACCTAATATCCACCACCTCTACCTTACTTGCTTACCAGTGGAACTTCATTTTGTTCCAGTTAGTCATTTACCCAACTAAAAACAACCCATTCCAGATATCTACGGTAACTATTTTATATAGTTCCAGATAGTAAAATATAGGCAGGATAAGTGTTTGAGAAGAACTTTTTTAAGGGACATGTTTGACTGATATGTCCCTTTTCAGCATCCCATCTTCCTACCAGGGCCATAGATATGAAACGGAATGTACAATAACTACCTTCTGATCAGGAGGTGATGATGAGGGGGAACAAAGACCTATACATTAAAAAATAGCAGAGAGAAAGATATAACTCTGGTATAGCAGACAGTATTGATGCTCTGTCCAAGTCTCCTTGGATTCATTTACACTAGATCCTTTGATGACATTTCTGTGAATACCACACATCTTCACCACCACCATCTTCTGTGTACTTTCAATATCTAGCATTTGCAGTTCTTCTCACAAGGACAGGCTTGATGGTATAAATGATGCTTTGCCCTCTTGCACAGAAAGACATGAGTGCCTGAGTTTATATTTCTCCCACCAACCTTACCAAGCATTCACTCAGAACTTCCCTCCTTGAGTTCATACTGAAGCTACTTCTTCTGGACTTTAGCATAAGATTATTTCCTTGCTTAAAGGCTACATAGATTGCCCTCTCTTGCCCTAATTTCCCTAGTTTTTCTTGAAAGCACTACCTTAGTAATAAATCACAAGTTCAAAAACCCTTAACACAGAATCTGTTCCTGGGAAACTTACCATAAAAAATAGGTCACATGTAACATTGTTGAGCTGCCATACTATTTTTGAAATACTAACTGCAGACTTTATGTTAAGAAAAAAAATAAACCCATGTCTGCTCAAGATAGTGCTGGGTTTTCTGTGGAATGAAGCTTAAAGTAAATTTCATCAATAGAAAAGATGATTTTGACACCTGATTCTTAGGACGCTAATAGAAACTACATTGCACATAGCAAATACTTAGTGAATGTTAGCTTAGAATCTAGGCAAACTTGATTGGTACTGAGAAAAATTTTTCTTAGGTACAATTAAAACTTTAAAAAGACATGCATGCCTCTACTTTGTTATCCTCTCAGTGTGGAGAGAATAAATCAGAATGGATGAGATCTGACAATTTATAACATATAAATCTCATAGGTATTTGACTATATTTCTTGACCTACAAATGTAACATATGTTTTCATATGTGTCATACTTTATTGAGCCTGCTTCAACAAAATACCATAAATTGAGTAACTTATAAACAACAGAAATTTATTTTTATCAGTCTAGCAGCTGAAAGTCTAAGATCTGCACTGGCATATTTAGTATCTGAAGAAGTCTTCACATGACCAAAGAGGTTAGCCACCCCTCTGGTTTCTTTCTTAAGAGGACTAATCACAATCATAAGGACCCTGCCTTCATGACCTAATCACTTCTTAGAGGTCTCACTGTCTAACACCATTACCTTGGGGGTTAGAATTTCAAAATAAGAATTTGCAGTGGGGAGACCAGAACATTGAGACCAAAGCAATATGTATCAAATATTAAATTATAAATATAAAACTACTAATAGTAAAAATGAAAAAATACCTATATTTCTTCAAAAGAGCACAGGATAAAAGTGCAAATATTCCATGATATGTGAATGGTAAATGGGATAACCAAAAACTTATGCAATAATTTATTAATACTACATGGGTCAGAAAAACAATTAGAAAAACCAAAAACTGGATCTTGGAAAAATCAATAAAATTTATAAACCTTTGGCCAGACTGACTATGAAAAAAATTACCATTATCAGTAATAAAAGAACTGACATCTGTAGTTGTAAAGGTTTTTGTTTTGTTTGAGTTTTTTGTGATAATGGAGATTGAACCCAGGACCTCACACATGCTAGGCAAACATTGTACCACTCAGCTATATCCCCAACCCATCTAAAAGTATTAAACATATAAAAATGGAACATTATAAATAATGCTACAACAATAAATTTGACAACTTTAATAAAAACAGACAAATTCATTGAAAGGCACAAACTACCAAGACTAACCCAAGAAGAAACAGACCAGTTTTGAGTGTCGTGTGTTCAACTATCTCATACTATTTAGGGCAGGAGTTCTGCCTTCACTAAAGGTGTAAACAGAAGAACAGATATCAGTGTACTATTGATTGGAGAGGAAGTAGTTAACAGGACATCAAGGAATCTCAGATTTTTTACCTTTTCCTCATTCCACATTGCCACACCTACTCGCTTCCACCCAGGACAGTCAGATCCCAGGGTTTTAGTTCCTCACACAATTATGGACTGTTAACTCTGTAGGCCAGATCTCTTTGCAGTCCAGTTGGACTTTCAATTGACTGTAGAACACCACCGCTTCGATTCATCAAGTTCAATACAACCTGAATCCAATGCATTCTTTTCTTTATCCCATCACCAGAGATACTCTATCTCTTTATCTGTGTATTACCAGTACCTAACTCAGTGGTCTGGCACTTTCAATATTTTTTTATTAAATATTTGAGGCAGTCAGTCAAACTACCAATGACTCTGGTTTGCTCCTTCCTGCTACTTGCTGTTCTGCTCCTCTAGTTCAGAGGTTCTCAAACATGAACATGCCTGAGAATCATCTGGAAAGCTTTTTCATATACAACTTTCTGGGCCCTAGCCACAGAGATTCTGATTTCAGAAATCACTGTCCTAGATCACACAACTGTATGGTCACTGATCACATGAACAGTGATTAGATTACTACTTTGAGTGTTCATTCCCTCTTGTAGCAAGTCATTGGGC